GTTTTTTTTCTAGTCATTTTGGTTTTAGCGATCAATGGAAAGAATTCATATAATGAATTATTAAATAATTTTGTAGATTATTTTAAATAAAGTTATAATTATTTAACTAAACTTATGATCAAAATAACTAAAATTTCAAAATGATAAAATATGATTAATAAATTTCAAAAGAAATAAATTTATTAAGTTTATTTTATTAATAAAATTTACATTTTTTAATTTATTTATTTTTAATTAATAATAGAAATAAAAATAAAATTTTATATAGTTCTTATAAGTAATTTTCAAATAATTTAAAAGTAATTTTAAATATTTATATTAAAAATAATTAAGAATTTATAATTGATAATTTTGTAAATAAGAACATATTAAAATTATTAAATTATATTTATTATATTTTTATAAACTAATTTATATTTTTAAACTTTAATCATTATATTTATGATTTAAAATTTAATATATTATTTTTTTTATTAATTTTAAAGTAATAATTTTATTGAAGTGAACAAAATTTTAGTATTATTAAAATAAATTATTAACTTAAAACTTTACTATATATTAATATTTATTTTTCAATAAATATACTTATTATTAATTTATATAATAATATATTTTACCTTTTTAGCTAAAAGATTATATAAAAACAATGTTTTTTAATTTTATTTATTTATTATTAAAATAATAGTGAATTATTATTTAGATAAATCAAGTTAATATAAAATATTATATTTTAAAAATCATATTAAATTTATAAAGTAATTTTTATTTTTTAATTAAATTGTAATATAAATATTTTATTTATATATTATTAAATTAAAAAAAAATATTAAAAGTTAAAAGAAATATTATTTTATTATTAATTTTAAAGGGTTAAAAAAGTTTTTTTATTAATCATTATAAATTTTATAAATTTTTAACCATAATACTTTCTTTAAAAGAAATTAGTTACATTCTTTTACTAAAATAAATGTCTTTAAAAGTTATGAAAATGTATTAATAAATCATATGAAATATAAGTTATAACAAATTTATATTATTTATTGGATAAATCTAATTGTATTATCCTATTATATATCTTATTTATAACATCCAAAATTTTATCCAATTAAAATTTAAGATCAAGTATAATGTTAATAATTTAGCAAATCAAAACAAAAAATCAGTTATATAATGAAAATAAGAATGTTTTTAAAAAATTTCAAAAAACTGTTTGTAACTGAAAATTTTGTCTATGAAACTGTCTTTAATATAATGCATCTCACTTATAAACTATAAAAGTCTGAAATTTTAAATGTAACTTTACATGATTTATACGTGACTTTCATATAACTTTATTTCATAATACAATAAAAAATTATTTTAATTCTGATCAGAAATTTGACGATGAGATTTATATTTTTGGCTGCATACTCTGCCAATTTGCTAATAATTCCATTCTTATATAAGTCCATATAATGCCATGTCTTTCAGATAAATTTTCTTATTGTAGTTATACTAATGGAATCTAAACCTTTAGAAACAATGTGTTGCAAATCCTACCATAAATAATCACAATTTTCTCGAGTATACTTTTTTGCTGCATCCTAATATTATTCAATAAATTTAACTCATAATGAAATTTTGGATAAAAAATAACTTTATGATCAGCTTCTAATATTATTTCTTTTAATGTATTTTTTTGTGCTAAGAAATCAGGTTGTAATGAGATAATTCGATATGCATAACAATCTGTTCTAGTTATATTATATATCTTATCTTTACATAATTTACAATCAGCACTTAGACCATCTCTCCATAATTTCTATTTACTTAATATTTGTTTTATTCCTTTAGGTTCACCATTATCATTTATCATTGATTGATGTTAATTATTTGGTCTAAAAATCGTATCCTTCATTTTTGATTATTTCTCTTTAGGCTTTAAGTTTATTCTATTAGCTACAAGAGCATTAGGTTTAAATACTGTATAATTTGAGCTATTAACAAACGCAAACAGCCTAATATAATTAGGAAAAAGTATTTCAAAAATTAGAATAACTTTGGTTTGAATTTGGTTTATTAAGTGTTCATTTGTCTAATATCCATCCTTATTTTTACCTAGTTGAAGATAAAAGTGTGCTTCTTGAAGTATGAAAGGTTTTTCTTGAATTTATTAAGCATCTAGTTTAAGTTGATCACATTCTTCTAATAAGAATTTACTGACTATAATCGAATATCTATTACCTTTTTTACGTAATAGCAATTTTCTTAATTTTGTTTATATACCTCATTTTCCATCATTAGAATAAAATACATATTCATCATATATTACAAGAATTATCTTCTTATCATCAGTTCCTAAAACTGATGGAATCTATTCTATATTTCACCTTCATATATTGCCATATATTTTTCATAATTGAAAATTTCTTCCAAAAATGATTTTTAATATTCAATAATATCAGGATGCTCATGATTATCATAATATATTCCTTAATTTAATTTTATTTGTTAATTTTTATATTTATAATTCACAATTAATATATATATAACATAAATATTTTTACCTTATTTTTGTGATTAAAAAGAAAAGTTAAGTACATTTAACCAGTATGCTGATATTGCCATATTTATAATTTTTTTTTTATTATTTCTGTATAATGAGCAATTTTTGCTCAATAAATTCTTTAAACTTTAATGGAGTTATTGTTTCACCCTGAGATCAAATTTATGAATCGCACTCTTCTGCTATATCTTCATCATCTATAAGCCAAATGGTTTTTTAATGTTTTTCTTGATGGCTTATTAGAAGCTGATTATATTGAAGCCAATAGTTTGCCTAGTATTAAATAGATCTTACTTTAAATAATGCATATTCAATATAAACTAATTCAGCAGTTTCTTTACTAACTTTACCTTTCCTCTCACATTTTCATTCAATCTCTTTAAGTATTTAAAAATTGTACGCTTCTTATTGTATTCAGTCACTGTTAATATTTTTTGTTATTTTTGAAATTCAATTTTTAAATTTTTGATTTTTTATTTAAAACAAGTTTATTCTATTCCTCATTTTTCGCATCATCTAAAACTTCTGTAAAATTATCTAAAATTGACTTATTCAGGTAAGTTGTAATCTTCACAGACCCTTTTGCAGCTTTTATAAATAAGCCACTTGGTCTGCATTTATCAAAATACGTTAACTTCTTTATTTTTCTGGTAAGATAAGATCTACGTTTCTTTATTTCTAAATGTGCATTATCTGACCAAACTAATTTAAAAAATTTTTTTATTTAATCATATGCAGCTTTTTCATTTAAATAATCAATTTCAGAATTCCACTTGCTATTATCATCATCTCTTTAACCATCATCTTCTCAACTATCATCAACATCCTTCCAACTATTATTATTACCTCCTGAATCATCAGTAAGCTGTGATTTTTTTATAAACCTTTTATTATCATTTCATTTTTGTTTTCTGTATTGAATTTTTCATTTAGATGAATGAGTTATCATTGATTCTGTGAAAAATATGCCAATCTTCAGTCTGAAAATTTTACTTTTCTATATATATCTTACTAAGATTTCCCAAACTATAAGCAAAAATAAATCTAAATGTAAGTTATTTTTTTAGAAAATAAAGCTGTTAAAAATGATCAGCATATTATATTTTATTAATTTAATGGTTTAATTTTGTAATTTATTATTTTTTTTCCTGATTTATAAATAATTAAAGCACATTACATTATTGTGATTTATAGATGAGATGCATCATACATTAAGTAAAAGTTTTCTAAATTAAATTTTACATTTAAAAATCTTGTTTATAAAATATTTAATAAATAATTTATTATTAAGAAAAATAAAAAAGGGCGTTACAAATAAGACATGTAACAGGATGTTACAAATACATTTTTCCTTATTTATTTTATACAAATAAATTTACATATAATCCATTATAATTTATTATTTATTTTAAATGATATATATATTTCTCTTAAAATACATTCGGTTTTATTAGTTTATTTTATTTGCGGTAATATAAATTAAGATATCTTTATTTTACTATAAAATTTTCGAACGTTCATATGATTTCTTAAGACTTTTTGGTAGCGGATATTACATAACTACAAATCCCATTAAAAATTAATATTAACAAAAATTGTTAATAATTAGCCTATCAGATCTTCACATGTTTGTGAACAAACTTTCGGAAACACAAGTAGTTTTGCGACAGAATTAGGAAGATTTTCTGCCTACACTATGGGATAAAAAAATTTATTTCTTTTACAAAAAGCGCGCGTGCAAATTCCCAATACGCGAGTATTAAATTCACATGGATTAGTTAATGCATGAGAACCAAATGGTAATTTACCAATGTTGTGCACTGACATTGAACTAACTTTAATCGACGTTAAGTTTTAAATGGCGGGGAGATTGTTTAGAAAAAAATAAATATTGGTAAAGATTAAGTAAATTTATATGTAAATACTGTCATGATTGATGTGGACAACGTCATGATGCAAAGTCGATATTTTAATTTTGTTTGATATTCGTTTTTTTTCTTTAAATGCTAGTATGAATAATTGTTAGTTTGTATATAAATTATGACCTTTTGAAAACAGTATTTACCTAATATGGTTATGATCATTCATCTGGTCACCATTTTACCCTTGTGTTTCGTGTCTCGATCAGTATACTACTTGTGAAATTAAAAATTTGGTATATATTTATCAAATACTTTTTTTTTATATTAAAATTTATTTATTTATGATTATTTTACGATTAACGTTAACACGTTAGCATTTGGAACATTTTTTTTTTTTTCTTCAAAATAAATAATTTCTTTTTGCCCTTTTTTTTTTTTTTTTTTGAAAATTCAGGTACCGTATTATCACTCATTTTACTGTTTAAAGGCAGCATACAAGGCATAAATTTTATCTCAACTTATTTAATTTTCACGAATCAGTTACTATCGAACTCGAGAGCAAGATTCGAAGTCGGTATATATAACGAGAACTAATGACACTTACCGAAACAACACAGTCTTTACTTGAGAAGGAAGACGACTTAAGTTTTCAAGAGATAATTGCCGCCTCACAAACTTTTGTGAGTCAACCACAACAGCCACAGCCTCCAACTCCGACAACGAATACCTCCGGTTTTAATTTAAACCCAGAGACATCAGTTCCTGATAGACATTTGCGAGCTAGGAAGCCTAAGAATAAAACTAGTTCAGATAATTTTATTTTCGCTGACGCTTCTGACATGTCCTTACTTAATGGTTCGACTCCTTCTTTGGCCAGTATCGCAAATATACATAGTAATAACGCTACCAATTCAAATTCTCAAAATCGATCAATAAATTCATCGAAAAATGATCGTAAACAACACCGAGAGAGATCAGATAATCAAGATATACCTACAGGACCTCCGGAAATGATGAGAGATCCTACTACCGAATCATTCTCCACTCACGCTTATAGTTGGCCCATTGCTTTTGCTGTAGTTCCACCAATGGGTGCTCTTATTTATGGCAAATCTGATGTATGGAGTGATTTCCTTTTATTGTTATTGATCGCTTTTTACCTTTACAATATTATTAAAGGTATTTAAAAAATTATTTTAATTATAAAATATTTCTTTTTTACATGGATTCTTATTAAATTTTATTAAATTATTATTTAGTTCCTTGGGAACTTTATTACGCGGCTAGATCTAGACGGGTTGTGAATGAAAACCTTACCGACCAGGCTGATGATCCTGCCCAAGAAGAACTACGAAATAAAGCTTCTAAAGAACTTCGTCGTCAAGAATTATGGGCTTTATTACTTGTGATAGTTTCCCCAATTATTGGAGGATACGCTTTGCATTGCGCAAAATTGTATCTGACAGATTATGACAAATACATTTCTCATTTCAATATAATCCTTTTTGTGTTTGCTGCCGGCATTCGTCCTTTAATGCATATTACTAGTCTTGCAAAAAATAGAACTTTGTACCTTCAAGAACAAGTTCACTATCCAAGTACGGAGGTTGAATTGTTGAAACGACGTGTTCAACATTTAGAATATGAATTCTCTCAATTACGTCGCGGATTCGCTACGAAAAAAGACGTTATCAATGTAAGAGATGGATTCGAACCTACTCTTTCACAGTTGAATAAAGCAGTGAGAAGATATGAGAAAAAAGAACAATTTCTTCGAAATTATTCAGAAGAAAGATTTGCTTATTTGGAATCCAAGTTACGAGAATATGATAGTTTTATTTCTTACAAGATACAAGAAGAACAGGCAACGACTATTTCACGTAGTATGACGCAAATTATTCTTTTGCCATTCAACATCGCGAAATATTTTGTACCTCGATCATTGCGTAAACAAAAACCAATGTTGCAACCCGCTATTAATTCTGAAGAAGAAGAAGAAAATAACAACAATAACGAATTATTGCAACAAGATTTATCCGGAAGTCTGCAAAAATATTAAGCATGGACTTTTTTTTTAAAATATTGTGTTTATTTATGTTGTGGCTGTGTTTATATTTATTTTATTAATCCCCCCGTTATAATCATTCCTCCTCCATTTACCTTATAAATATCTCATGGTAAATATAGACTTTCAAATTGGAAATTTATATTTTTTCTTATTATTCATATATTTACTATTCATATTTTGCCATGATGTCTTAATCCTGTTAAGCATCTTTTAATATGTTTGCTTCAACTAATGTTAATATTAAAATCCCAATTAACTTTGATGCAAAATAAAGTTCACACAGTCATCACGACTGTGATATTTAAGTAATAAAGTCACATGTTACGAGTTACACATTTGTTTCAATCTGAACATAAAAACGACGCGACTTGAACACGAGTCTTTCAGTCAACTTCGTTACATTTTTTTGTCACAACGCGCATTTTTCCAGAGTTGTAATATAATAATAATAAAAAAATTGAAAAAATATAAAAGCCGATCAAATCTAAGATTTCGCCAAAAGACATGCCTTTTACTTTTACCAGGAAAGACAATAAGGGTCAACTAAGATCGACCTCAGCAAGCTTGATAAAAAATAAAAAGCCAGCTGCAGCACAGAGTAACCTTCTTTCGTTTCTCAAAAAGGAGTTACCTACTCCAGCAGATTCAAGTAGTAAAAGAAAAGTTTCTGAGGAACCCGAGTTACCTCTAACTCCTGTAACTCCTAGCTCTCGCCGTGAGAAAACGGTGCAAAAATTTGATAACGAATCGATAAATGATATAGAAACCACTAGTACTGCTGAAGAAATTGGGGAATCAACCTCGGAAGTGAGAGTTTTAAGAGTAAGTTTAAGTAATGAAGAATTCGTTAATAATAATTGATTTAAATATAAAAAATTTTTATATCACATATTGTAGCGAAGAGTTAAACGTAAAATTTATGTTTCGTCTGGTGATGATGATTCGGATGATGTCCTCGATCTCGTAGATTCTCCAAGTATGTTTGGATATAATTTCGTTGTAATGCACGTGATACCCTTTAATAATCCAAAATTTATGAAATCAAGTACCAGAGAAACCTCGTGTTCAAAAGAAAACTTCCCCTCGACAAAGAAAGGCTAAAAATGACGACGATGATTATGAGCAAGGAAGCGATGATTCTGGTATAAAACTCATTCAGTTTTCTAAATTTATTTCTGCAGTCCAAAAATTTACTATTTCCTTTCATTTGTCTAGTCATGAACGATACGAACGATGTAGCTCTAGTTGCTAGCGATGACGAAGATAATTCAACGCGCGTGATTAATAAGTTCTCTCAAAGAGATCAAAATGGAAAATCTGCCTCTAAACTAAAGGTTCGGTCTGAATCTTTACCTTTTACATCGATAAAATTATATGTTTAACTTTATTATAATTAGGCATTTGCCTCGAATTCATCTGTTCGTCGTGGCCCAAGCTTCTCATCTTCAACTCATATGACCAACACCGAGAAAAAGAAGGTACAATTCATTTGAGATTTTATGCAAATTATAATAAGTTTATCTAAGAGTTTATTTATTATGAAAGCAACGTGCTGCAGATTTTAAAGTAAAGAATGATGAACGATACAGTTGGTTGCAAGATGTTCGCGATATAGATGGAAATCCCGAAGGTACTATTTCCTTACTGTTCTAATCACCGGTGTTTTGTTTTCTGAAGCTAAACTTTATTTGGGACAATATTAAAAGGATCACCTAATTACGACCCACGTACTTTGTATATTCCTAAATCTTCTTGGGACAAGTTCACTCCATTTGAAAAACAATTCTGGGAAATAAAATCTAATCATTGGGATACCGTATGATATGAATTTAAATGAATGTATTGATTCAAATTACGTTGGTGTTAATTAACATCGTTCTTCTAACATTAGGTCGTATTCTTCAAGAAAGGAAAATTTTACGGTATAAAATTTTAGAATATCCCCTTATTTGTTATCACGCGTTTAAATAACATTTCCCTTATTAAAATTTTAATTGGTTCCATCTTTATAGAATTATATGAGCGTGATGCAGATATAGGTCACACGGAATTCGATCTTAAACTCACAGACCGTGTTAATATGCGAATGGTTGGTGTGCCCGAATTTTCTTTTGAACATTGGGCAGCTCAGTTTATTGCAAAAGGGTAAATAAATTTTTTTACTGATTATTTTCTATAAATGGAAATAAATCATATACTTACATCACTTTCCTTGATCTATTAAACATCGAAAGTCATAAAGTTGCGAGGGTTGACCAAATGGAAACAGCGCTAAGCAAAGAGATGCGCGAAAAAGCGACCAAGAAAAAGGTTGTTATTATTATTTTTTTACTTATACTCGTTTTTCTATTCCTGTTTGATTTAAATTTAAGGATTAATAATATTGATCATTTACAGGAGGAAAAAGTTATACGACGTCAGTTAACTTCTATCCTTACCGCCGGAACTCTTGTAGATGGTGGATTGTTGACTAATGAAATGTCAACTTATTGCATGTCAATTAAAGTTAATATTGTATTCAAATATATATTATACACGTCGTTCGTCTATCAAATCGTTTACTAAAATTATATATACAGGAGTCTTGTCCAACCGAAAACGATCCACCTGCTTACGGTATATGTTTTGTTGATACTGCGACTGGCGAATTTAATCTCGCGTCATTTGTTGATGACATTGATCGAACTCAATTCGAAACTTTGATCATGCAAGTGAAACCAAAAGAAATAGTGTATGAAAAAGTTAGTATATGTGAACTTAATTTTTTACAATTGGTAGGATTATTATTTATGTATTTAAAATCTCTTTAATAGGGAATGCTTAATAAACGTTCGCAACGTATTTTAAAAACCTGTATTAATTGTCCCATATGGACCGGGCTCATACCTGAAAGAGAATTTTGGGATGCAAATGCTACTTGGGATGAAATAAGATTTTCTCGATATTTTTCCAATAAACAAAATTTAACTGAGAAAGATGACGACGACGATGAGACGATGGAAGATGGTGATAATGGATATGACCCAGGTATCCTTTGTTTTATTACTAAACAAATTCATGACAATATTATGTAATTAACCCATTTGCTGTCTATGAAATTAGAAATTTGGCCTGAAGCCATTAAAGCAGCTCGGAACAAGCCTTTGATGATGTCCGCATTAGGTGGTAAGTATAATTTTTAATATCAAAGACGCTTTTTCCTTATTGTTATTTGTTCTTAAATCATAAGTGAATTTCCAATTAAATAGGACTCATTTGGTATTTACGTTCGGTAAGTTTATTAATCAAGATATTATGAGAAAATTACGATTATTTATTTTATTTTATTTTATTTACTTGTGATATTTCATTTTTTGTGTAAAAAAAGTTGAAGCTTGATGAAGAATTAGTATCATTACGAAATTTCAAATTATATGACCCAATTCGTCATAGTGCTTCGCTTATCCTCGACGGTCAGACCTTGGCAAATCTCGAAATTTTCGAAAATAATTTGGATGGAAGCGATCAAGGAACTGTGTTCAAATTGCTGAATCATTGCGTCACGCCATTTGGTGAGATTGATATGGACGATGTGTTAATATTTTTGGGCTTTTACATATTTTTCTTTTTGGTAATAAAATTAAAATCAAAATAGGTAAAAGAACCTTTAAACAATGGTTATGTCATCCGCTTCGAAATGTAGAAGATATCAACGAACGATTGAATGCAATTGAAGAATTAAATAAACATTCGGATTTTCGTGAATTATTTGACGAAACATTTATGCATTTTCCAGACCTGGAAAGATTAATCAGTCGGATTCATGCAGGAACATGCAGAGTAAAAGACTTCTTGCTCGTATTATCCGCTTTCGAAAAATTAATGGTACGTTAACGTTTAATATTCAATATTATTCACTTTTAATAACCAGATTAATTGTTTTTTTTTATAAAAATTATTTAATATAATAATAGGCAGTGGTAACAAAGCTTGGAGTCTATGCAAAAAAATTTTATTCGGACAAATTGCTTGGATTATTTAGAAATGTACCCGACTTATCTTCCATATTGTTATACTTTAAGGAAGCTTTCGATCATGATCAAGCCGAAAAAGAGGGTAACGATTTTCATACCATATCTATATAAAAAGCAAAGATTAAGTTAATATTAAGATTTATTGCACGTTATGGAAATAGGGAAATTAATACCTTATCATGGTATTGAACAGGATTATGATACAATTCAACAAAAACTTAGCGCGGTTGAGAAGTTATTAGACGATCACTTAAAAGAGACAAGAAAATTATTGAAGTATGAGAAAGCTTTTATACCAAATACAGTTGATGTATGAAATCTTTGCTTATTTTTTTTTTTTTTTAGGTCCGATAAGATTATATATAAGGATATTGGAAAGGAAATCTATCAGCTAGAAGTTCCAAATAACATAAAAGTCCCACATGATTGGAAAAAGTTATCTCGTACACAGAAAGTTAATCGTTATTGGAATTCAACTCTCCAAAAACTCGTAAGAGACCTTCAGGAGGCACTTGAAACTAAATCTAACACATTGAAAACTTTGCAAGGAAGATTTTATGAAAAGTTTGATGTTCACTACCAGGAGTGGTTATCTGCTATTAGAATCATTGCCGAGATCGACTGCTTGCTTAGCTTGTCTACGAGTTCAAAGGCATTGGGCGGTTAGTCATTATTATGATCTAATGATAACAATTATACGAAGAATAAGTTAAATGTTAATTATTACTCCATAGAACCATCATGTCGTCCTCAATTTGTGCAAGATGGGCCGAACGTCTTGGAATTCGAGGAACTAAGACACCCTTGTGTTACAGCTGGGTATGTTATGAGACTACGAGTGCATTTTGTCTCAAAGTTGTCGCTAACAGATATTTATTCGATTTTGTTTAGTGTCGCAACAGATTTCATACCTAATGATACCTCCTTAGGAGGAAATGAGCCAAATATAATATTGTTGACCGGTCCTAATATGGGTGGAAAGTCTACCCTCTTGCGTCAGGTTAGGTTTATGATTTATTTAAGTCGGGTTTCATATATCTATACATTGGATAACTACAATGGTGTATCATTTATAACAGAATTGTGTAGCAATAATTATGGCACAATTGGGGTGCTATGTGCCAGCGAAAAGGTGTCGAATGACACCCTTTGATAGAATTTATACACGCATTGGTGCAAATGATAACATTCTGGCAGGACAAAGTACTTTCATGGTAGAATTAAGCGAAACTTCAAAGATTCTACATGAAGCGACTCCAAGATCTATGGTCATTCTTGATGAATTAGGTCGTGGTACATCAACTTTTGATGGGTATGCAATTGCCTATTCTGTTTTACATTATTTGGCGACGTACATTGGTTGTTTGGGATTATTTTCTACTCATTACGGCATGTTAACGCAAGAGTTTGCCAAGAATCCCAATATCGCTCTCAAACACATGAGCTGTCAAGTGGACCAACATAAAAAGGAGGTTACGTTTCTTTATAAATTAGTAGCTGGTGTGTGTCCTAAATCATATGGAATGAACGTGGCTAGTATGGCGGGAGTTCCACGAGGAATTGTAGATCGTGCAGAAGTTGTTGCTGCCAAATTTGAACAAACTTCTCACTTGTATGATACTTTGACTGCAAACGGCTCTAATATTGCGATTACGGCGCAATGCGATTTCGCATATTTATTGAAATCTGCGTTTAAGAAAATAGGTTCATCTGAAGATGATGTCGGTGATAGGGCATTGGATAATCAGACTGAACATGAAAAAGAGGCGAGACAGACTAGAGTTTTGAAAGCCATTATACGTAGTATTAGAGAGATGTGAAAATTTTAATTGACGTTTAAAAAATATGTATAAATAATAACTAATTACTATATCGATATAAATAAATATGATTTGATAATAATATATCACGTTTTAATATCACGTGGGACAAATTAGTACTCAAACACGGGAAATTAACGATTTGGTTAATTAACAGTTAACGCCCATCCCTGCACACGATGACACGCGTGCATCAATGTTTTGATTTAAAACCGTTTGCTAGTTACAATAATTGGTAGTTGCCGCAAATATGAATCCAGCCAGAAAAAAAAATTTTTTTTTCCGAGAACTCTAAAATATTTTCGAGTTCCTTCCTCAGCTTCGCATGTCTAGTAACGGCTTTAATCACACGTTCGAAGTTAGTTCTTTAGTACAACTCGAGGAACATATACAAAATGAAGTTAAAAATATCAATTATTTCGTAGAATCATCTAACCTTTTTGAATGTTCTTCGCATGTTGTTTTGAAAATCTTTACTGACTGGAAAAAAGAGGACCTGGAACTAGTGCAATTTAAAGACGGAATTACAAACAAACGTAAATAACTTCCTTTTTTTCTTTTTCTTTTTTTTTTTTGCTATTTTCCATTATTAAAGTGTATCAATATATTATTCCTAGTTGTCAAATGTACCAATAAAGCTCTTAATTTTTCTGTCTTAATTCGAGCTTATGGTAATAAATCGGAAGTTTTAATTGATAGGAAACAAGAAATTTATGTAAGATGCAATAAATAACTTTTTCTAAAGGGTTTTTTTCAGAATTTAATAATTATAATCATATTTTTTTTAAAAAAAAAGAACCTTGTGACTTTGTCGAGTCTAGGAATGTCACCACCTTTTTACGGGCGTTTTAGTAACGGGCTAGTATATGGTTTTATAGAAGGAACAGCATTTTCTGTTCCTGATTTAAGCAATTCATGCAAGTCTTCACTGGTTGCCGAACATTTGGCCGCATGGCATAACGTGAATATTGCAGGAGAAAAAAAACCAAAGTTGTTTGTTACTTTAAAAAAATGGCTTAAGGAAGGTAATCTTTATTTTTTTCGTTTATTTATATATAAGTATATATTTATTCTTTTTTTTTTTTTTTTATTTAGTGCCAACATCTTATGTCAACCCGGAAATAAACGAAAAGTTCCAAAAAAATTTCAATATAAAAGAACTTAACACAGAGGTATTATATTTGTTTATAATTCGTTATCATTAATAAATTTGTCACTTGAATAAAGAATATAACTTTTTTCGTTAGCTAACTAATTTGGAACTGGAATTAACGAAAGTTAATTCACCCGTTGTATTTTGTCATAATGATCTCCTATACGGCAACATTATTTACAATGAAACCACGAAAAAAGTTTCGTTTATTGATTACGAATATGGATGTTATAGCTACCGAGGTTTTGATATCGGTAATCATTTTTGTGAATTCGCCGGGTTTGAGTGTGATTATAGTTTATATCCAGATAAAAAATTTCAATTTCAATGGTTAAGACATTACCTTAATACATTTAATTCTGGTAAGCATAACTTCATGTTTTTTATTACGAAATTTCCAATATCAAAGTGTTAATTTTTTGTTGATATTATTAGCTAAGGGAGAAATGTTGAGAGATAATGATGTCACAGATAATGAGCTTTTTACATTATATCGTGAAGTCAATAAATTTGCATTAGCTTCTCACTTTTATTGGGGACTTTGGGCTTTGGTAAACATTAAATTTGATTTGTATTTATTATTATTATGTTTTAGTATTCAAAATTTAAAAAAAAAATAAAAACTTTATAATAGGTTCAAGCTCAACTATCCGATATTGATTTCGATTATATGGAATACGCAGTCTTGCGTTTTAAAGAATATTATAAACGGAAGAATGAATTTTTATCATTATAGAATTTGATTTTTTTAACTTAAGAGTAATAAATAATGTTCTTATTTAAAAAAAAAAAAAAAAAAAAAAAAAAAAAAAAAAAGATTAATCATTAACTTATTTATTTTGAAAAAACACCGGTTCAAATTGAGAACGGGATTCAACCATTTCGACTGCGTTTTTCAAGATTTTACTCAAAACTTATTATTATTGTTAGATTTACCAAAATGTATTGTTAGCAAAAATAATTTAATGGTTATAATTATCTAACTAATTTCGTTATAAACAAAATTTGTTTGTTCAATTGTCAACTGATCAAAAAATAGCATAAGATCATTTTTTATTATAACATAATTTACAAAAATTACAGGATCATTTTTCAAGTAAATTAAATAAATTGAAAATATAAATCATGATAAACAATAAATGACTTTACTAAACCACACCAGTGGTGACTGGCACCAGTTTTTTGAAAAAAAAAAATTGTAACATCCAACACCATATTTCAAAAAATTAAAATTTACCGATATTGTTATATAAATTTCAAAAAAAAATTAAAAAAAAATGCAAATGTAAAAATGATAATAAAAATAATTATGCATTTATATGCAGAATTTTTTTTAATTGTCCGCCGAAACATAGCGAAGAACCTAATATATTTAGGCAATATCATTTTTAATCAATGAATGGTTTTTTATTAATATGTGGTAACTAGAAGTAAAGTCACTAGCATCACATTAGTATGATATATTTTTTGATCTTGAGATACTCCTTTAGATCTCTGATACCCTTATAAATGCATTAGCAATCCATTTAAAAACACATTCTTATATGGTTGCAACCTAGATTTAGATATCTTAAACAACTATATCTGCAGTAACAGGCTCACTAGACCTTATTGAATATCATCAATCACTGGATAGAGAATAATTTCAGCCATAAAGATTTTTACATCCTATTTTTACTGTAATCTTACCAGAAACTACAACTGTATCTATTATCAGGTAGGTCTGATAATGAAATAACCTGACAAAACTTATGCTTTAAAAGTTATCATCTCTGTATAAAACTGTAAAAGTGGTAACTGTTATACTTATATCATTAAATTTATTTGAAAACTGAACCCAATCTCTACCCCCTAATAATAGCTTGATTTGACTGGTATTACAACTAGAGTTCCGAATGAGTCGAGTCAAGTCGAGTTTAAAGATCAACTCTATTTGACTCTTTTTTTTCAAGTCAAGTTGAGTCAAATTTATTTTATAAAATCTTTCAATTTAATTTGATTCGAGTTATGTAAATTTTAAACTTGACTCAATTTGACTTAATTCGATTTTAACTCAATTCAATTTTGACTTGAATTTATTCAAATTGAGTCAAGTTCAAATCAAATTATGAGTCAATTTTAAATTTTTATAAACATTTAATTAATAAAAAAATAAAATAAAAAAATAATAAAAAAAAATGAAAAGATTGGGAGGGAGAGGGGAGAGGGAAGGAAAAAGGGGGAGAAGAAAAGGAAAAAAAAAGGGGAGCGAACGATTCGTCATCATTCTTTTTAAACAATTTTTTTTATCATTCAAGTCAAACAATTTCTTATCGTTCTTCTTGAACAATTTTTTTATCATTCAAGTCGAACGATTTCTTATCGTTCTTCTTGAATGATTTGATTTTTTTTATCGTTCAAGTTGAACAATTTCTTATTATTCTTGAACGAATTTTTTTATCGTTCAAGTCAAACAATTTCTCATCGTTCTTCTTAAATGATTTTTTATTGTTCAAGTCGAACGATTTCTTATCATTCTTCTTGAACAATTATTTTTTATAAGACTGCAGTTTTAGAACTGCAGTTTCAGGACCTGGTCCTAGAATCCAGTTCTAGGATCCAAGTCCTATGGACTGGGAGTTTTAGAACCAGACTAGGATTGGACTGGATTTTAACATCCCTAAAAATAATACTATTTCAAGTCAACTCGAGTCAACTCGAATATAGTCAAGTTTAAATCGAATCAAGTTAAATATTTAACTTGACTTGAATTTGGCTTGACTCGCAAATTATTGAGTCAAAAAAACATAAACTTAACTTGATTTAAACTCGACTCAGCTTATCTGACTTATTAGTTAACTCAACTCGTCTGAAACTCTAATTACAATATACAATACAGTTATTATTATAACCACCTGAAAGTAATACTCAAATTTACTAATTATTAGTTAATCACTTCTTTACTTGTATAAAAACCTCTACCATTTGAAAATATAAGACAGTATCTATTTACAGACCTTTAATGAAAACTAATTTTTGTCAATCTTTAACTTCATTTACATCTACTTATTCTTCAAAGCTAGTATTTAAATATGATTAATATTAATTAATAGGTCAATTGATCAGTTACTAATGTATATTAGTCTATACGTCCTTATGTTTAGTTACAATAAAAATCTTATAATAATCATATAATTTTACTTTAACTAAGACCTGAACTTAAGACTTTTACAATATAATTTACGAAAGAGACTCAGTTTTACAAATTGAATCAAGATTACCAATTCTTTTGATTAATGATTGTCAATTTTGTGTTATGTAAATATTATAATTTTCATTTTTTTAGTGAATATTTGATTATTATAATAGAATAAATACTAAAAATGCTTATTAAAAAGAAATACGTCTGAATTACTAAAATTACAAAAAACATAAAATTTATTCAGTATATATATGTTGTCATTACAATAATCATTTCTATATATCTCTTATAAATATAATATTTTATTTACATTTATATTTTTATCTTATATTATATTTTTGTAATATATTATCATTAGCTGTAATTACACTTATCTAATAAAAAGATTTTACAATTAAAGTAAAATTAAATCAAACCTTATTATTTATATATTAAAAAATAATCTTTATTAACATTGTCAACGGAGCAATTGACCAGTCATAATGAAGTCATATAGATGACGCTGTATGATGATCTCTTAATCTAGAATTCTGAAAATACTGAGAATTCTGTGAATTCTGAAAATACGAAGGATCTATGTAATTCTGATGATAATCCTAATTTTACGAATTAGATGAAGTCTAAGAATATTTAGTGTTATACTTATTATTAATATTCTAAATTTTA